ACTTGGGATCTTCAAGGCCAAAGAACATGTTACGTTGAGAAATCGAAAAAGACATGAGAAGTATGAAGAAAAATTGGACAGTAATGGAAATCGAAGCCCAGGACAGAGTAGGTTGGAGAATACTGGTCAGTGGCGTTAGCTCGATTAGGGGGGTAACAGACGTAAGTAAGTAATACTTTGTGCATATATTAGGACGTTGAAATTAATCCCTGTGTTAATATGCTTTTGATTCCCTGGTTGAAATTCATATGCTAGACTTCTTTGGCAGACTAGTAGATAAAACATTCTTTTATGAGTCCCTAAACGTTTAGGCTAAATTATTTTTATGGAAAAGACTATCATTCCCTAAAAAAGCACTTTATGTTCACAAGTAATCCTCTCAGTTTAAATGTTTACAATATTTCCTATAAACGTATTTCATGAGTTATCTGCAATAGAAATTTATACGATGATCAAACTTAAACGAAAATGTATACGATAAATTTTTAAAATGTCACTTATTGCTTGAAAATTGAATACAGTCGTTATTAATTTAATGGTTCCACAAACTACTGTGGCAGAGAATAAATCAGATTCTAGCAGAGGACAAATTAAGGAAGAAGCATTGAAAGCAGATGGAATACAGATTGAAGAAAGCACTCAACCACGTTCCAAGATAATCCTTTACTTAAGGTCTTCAAGGCCAACGTATTAAAGGGGAGGACCGAAGAACAAATTACTTTCAGAAACGGAGACAGACATGAGAAGAATGATCAGCAATTGGACAGAACTGGAAAGGAAGGCCTAACACACTAAGGGTTAGAGAATGCTTTTCGGAAGCCTATGCTCCAGTGGAAAGTAACAGGTGCAAGTAAGTAAGTAGATCAGTTGTATATCTTGACAGATTTTCTTAACTACACAATCTTTCAACGGCTCACCTGTTGTAATATGAACACCTGAATTGCATTCTAGACCAGTTTCTACCGATGTCGGTGTATGTAAACGAAATCAACAATATTTCGAAACCCGCAACAACTATTTATTAGAACGTCCTAAGGACTGTCCGGTGGTGCTTATTTTTTCAGCCGTAATCAATTCGTCGCACAGTCTGAGGATCAACCAATGCCCTGGGTAAAAACTATTCCATTTCACTGAAATTCATTGATTAAAACAAAACCTTTGTTGAAATACCTTTGTTTATTTGTAATGATGCTGTTTAATTCTATTCTATGATTTCCCAAGTGCACATTTTATAACTTTTAATTAGAATTGTGGAGGTCACTGTTTAGACATACTGAAATCATCAATCAATCATTGTTAGACAGACCACCATTAGAAACCTGAAAGCACTGACAGATGGCCATTTCGTCCTGGTATGGGACTCATCCCCGGCAGTACGCATCCAGGACTCTTGCACCTCACAAGATTCGAACCAAGGACCTTCGGTCCTGAGTGCAGTATTGTGCTTACTAGTGACTAAATTCGTGAGGACATTCTCGGAGTTGTAGTGAGAAGACGTCACCAGTGGAGTTCAACCCTATTAGGTGTAGGCAGTAACTACCGAAGGCGAATGAGTGAGATTATGCCAAATCCCTAGATTGATCGGAGTTAGACATTTATATCGTTGAATACTGGCTCAGTGGTCTAGAGGTTAGGCGTTCGCTCATAAACCTGAATTTTCTAGATTCGAATCCTGCTATTCGCAGGAGTCGTGGATGGGCACTGCTTAAAAGTTCCTTACTGGGACAAGACTGCCATCTGGTGCTCTTCAGTTTCTAATGGTGGAGATTCTCGGAGTTCTAGTGAGAAGAAGTGACCAGTGGAGTTCAACCCTGTCATGTGTATGCGGTAACTACCGAAGACAGATGGGTGGTGTTACGCGAAATCTCTAGATTGATCAGAGTTAGATATTTACATTGTCGGGTTCCAGTGCAGGGGTCTAGATATTAGCCGTTCTGGGTCCTAACCCTGCGGAGTCGTGGATACGCACTGCTCATATCAGGAAGAGACTGCCATCCGGTGCTTTCTAGTTTCTAATACTGGTCTAATAACTGATTAATTGACGATTTCAACCTATTGTAACTTTTATGCTTAATCAACTTGAAAACATGAAAGCTACTAATTTATTTTTCAATAATCTAACCTAACCTACAGTGTTTGCTTTTTTGGGAATTTAACAGTAGAATAAATCAACCAGGCAATTAATTTATCAGTATCAATTAAAAAATTTTTTAATTATATTACCAATGATATCTAATAAATATATTTTTATTTTAACTTGTAGTAGTAGTACACGCAAGTCTAGACACATATTCCAGTTTATTGATTATTAGTTAGTAGACTAATGGTAAGTTTACACTAACCAAACCCAATAGTTTGTATTTCTCCCATGAAGACATATATATGCATATTTATGTGTATATAGACGCAGAGAGATATGAAGTTGGGAATATGTTCAGTGAACATGTGTAAAAAAACACAATCCCAAATGTTGATTTATTGCACGTATTTAAATAAACATTAACAATGTGTTCTTGTTTGTACAATTGTGAAAAACATTGTTTATCATTGTTTTGAATTGAATTAAAAGACTGGTCAGAGATGAGAGAATGAGAAAAGACAGAGAGCAAACGAGTGGAGTCGTCAATTCACTGTTATCAATGATCTTTATTGACTACAGAAAATTTTCACTATTTACAACATGATCCTTCAACCTTTGATGTCATGTTATGTGGTAGGATAGAAAAAAACGTTAGACAAATAACATGTAAATAGTTAGAGAGAGAGAGAGAGGGAGCGATGACCTTATTATCTGATTGAAGTAAATAAAAGTAGGATGTTTTTTTATTGTGTTGACTGTGAATGCTTATCAACGAAAGTCATAATACTTACTACATGGAATTCGAATGAATGAATGTTATAAAATCATGAATTGATCATTGTTGTTAGACCATCATTAGAAGAAACCTGGAAGCTCTGACAGACGACCGTTTCGTCCTGGTATGGGATTTATCAGTGACAGTGCACATCCACGACTCCTGCATTTGGCAGGATTCGAACCCAGGACCTTCGATCTTGCACGTAAACGCCTAACCCTCTAGGGTGTAGACAGTAACTACCGAAGATAATGCTTGAGGTTGAGCAAGACCGTGAATTGATCGAAGTTAGACATTGACACCGTTAGATACCGGCTCAGTGGTCCGGAGGTTAGGCGTTCGCGCGCAAGACCGGAGGTCGTGGGTTCGAATACTGCGAGGTGCAAGAGTCATGGATGCACGCTACTGATGAGTCCCATACCAGGACGAAATGGCCGTCCGTCAATGCTTTCAGGTTTCTAATGTTGGTCTAACATTGATCGGTTGATGATTTCAAATGTGTAACCTAACAATCTTCACAAGCCCGTAATGCAATTAGTTTAATGGGGAAAATCATCTTGTTGTGTGAGTTAATTCTACATTGATATCATGAATCGATCAATGTTAGAGCCCTAATCAGAATCTGGAAGCACTGGATGGCTTTTTTTGTTCTAGTATGAAACAATCTCCAAACGTTGAACCCAAGACTTTCGATCTCATGCACGATCGCCTCACCTCTTAACCACTAAGCTGGCATTCAGCAGTGTTAATGTCTAACTTTGATTCTTACGTAATAATGACTTAATACACATGATCTTAGCTCAGAGAGCCGAGAAGGGACTTTGCGCAGTGGCGGTACTGAAGTTTATCTGAGGCGAGGTTATTGCTGGTTGAAAACTACTAACGTAATAATGACTTTTCATCAAAAATTTTTCCTCAAGCCTTTTAACATATTATATTATATCACACAGAAACTATCTAATCGAATTCTTCAAACAATTACTATGCTTATTGTACTGCTTTTCCTCACCTAATTACGCAACATTATGACGTCACCCAACTACTACTTGATTTGTACTTATCACTGGTCTGTTGTAGATTAGTGTGTGTAGAGTCATGATGAAAAATTAATTGACAAGAAATGTCGTCACGCTATTTATTCATTTTACTAACTAGATAATAAAATGAGAATTATCTCAATAACTTCATATATATATATATTAGTTACAGCGTGACCACCTAATTCCATAGAATTTTAAATCAGACTCAATGTCCAAGTACATTGACATATATTGAATATTGATCAAAAGTTGTTAATTTTACCAAAAAAAATGTTTAAATTCACACTGAACTAATAAACGATTTAGCATTATAGTATAATGGAGATTTTTGTTTTTACACACTGAAATCCTGAATGACCACCAAAAATACATCAAAGCCTTCGACGGCCATTTCGTTCTTGTATGAGACTCCCCAGCAGTGCTTGTACATGGCTCCTGGTACTCACAGGGTTCGAACTCAAGACCTTCGGTCTTTTTGCGCGAACCCTTAACCTATGGACCACTGAACCTGCGACATCCAACAGTGCTACTGCTTAACTCTGATTAATCTACGGATTTTTTGCGTGATCCCATCCATTTTTCTTCGGTAGTTACTGTCTACACCTAACCACGTCTTCACACTACAACTCCAAGAACTTGCTCACGAATCTATTTTTGTGCACTGAAACCATGAATGAATCATTGTTAGACCACCATTAGAAACCTTCAGGTACTGGACGGCCATTTCGTTCTTGTATGGGACTTCCAACGGCTCCAGCTACTCGCAGGATTCGAACTCAGGACATTCGGGTCTTTTCGCGCGAATCCTTAACCTATGGACCACTGAACCAACGACATCCAACAGTGCTAATGTCTAACTCTGATTGATCTGGGGATTTTTTGCGTAATCCGATCCATTTATCTTTGGTTGAACTCCACGTCTTCTCACTACAACTCCAAGAACTTCCTCACGAATCTAGTCACTAGTGAGTACATTTCTATCATTTTAAACCATACTATTGTGTGGAGATCGTTGTCTGAACGCAAGACACCTTACTCTAATCAAAAATCATCAATAATAATGAACTGAACAGAAGTTTCATGCAAAAAAAAAGAATTTGTTTACCTTGGTTCTGGATTAGCTTTTGCATAACAAGGTATCAATAACAATTCTTCTGGATTCATATAAACAAGTGATGGTGGCATTTTAATGAATGTTGGCGGATGAATAACTAGAAGTTTAAAACAAACAAACAAACAAACAAACGAAAAATGACAACATGATCAAAAATGATCAAACTGTTCAATAATGTTCACTTATAGAAAACATTCAATGTTCAATATGTCGAAAGGAAACACTCATGTCAGTCAGTACGTATAAACTGGAATGATCAGTGTTTCAATAGACTAGACTACTATTGATCTACTTTGTTTGGTCAGTGTGATTATTTTTTAAATTAGGCTTCCTATCATGCTATTAGATTGCTATTCCGCGCAATTTAAAATATATTTGTTAGATGATACGACTACATGGTGACCCGTTGGTGCTGGCTGTGGAGCTCACGATGTTGCTGCGCCGTACGCTGCCAAGTATGGATGGGGAGTCGAGGGCACAGTTGTTGGCGTCACAATTTATCGAGAGTGTGCCTGCCGCCGTGTCCCAGCAGCGGGAACTAGTAAACGCTACACGTTGGATAGATGCCGTAACCATTCCAGATCAGCGGGCAAGAACAATGACCAAAGTAGTAATCCGGCATAGTGTAGCGCGTCAAGGAATACGGAAGGTGATATTAAGTGACCAGGGTCTCTGTTTTGAAAGTGACGACAGCTTATTAAAAGGGGGGACGAGTGTGGTGCTGTGGTGTGAACTACTTATAAGTAGTATATGACGTGAGTGTCAACGTAATGTCTGGCAGCAGAAGATGGGGGGAAGATCAAGAAAGGAAGAGTTAGAAAACAATGGAATTTGCATGAAACGCATGAATAGTGAGTGACAATGGATTGATGTTTTGCAACAGGAACAGTCAGTCCAGTTCGATATAATGAACTGATATTTTACAAATGAACGATTTACGATATGGTTTTCCGATTTTACTGAGTGATTAACTCTGTAATTTTCGCTAAATACAATCCGGTTGGCCTCACCTGTGTTCTCGTGCTCGTCAACATGTAGTTGTTAGATGTTGATTAACAGTTGTCTATACAAGATACTACAGCTCCATTGGTCACACACTATCAATAACAATCTGTTGTATGAGATACAAAAACAGAATCCGATTGAGAAAGAAAATGGCTATAACTCCTGAAGGTGGATAGGATACATATTACGGACATCATTCAACTATTATACGACACAAGGCAAGCTGTAACACGAAACCATTAGGATGGAAGTAAAAAGAGGTTGTGGACGGAAAACACTGTGCCCAGAATTGGAGACAGATATGAAAAGGATGAATAGCAATTAGGGAGGAATTCAATGGAAGGCTGTGGACAAAGTTAATTGTAGAAACCTGCTCGGCTGCCTATAATTCATGAGGGCTAGGAATCATAAGTAAGTAAGTAAGTAAGTGCATAAGTAAATAGGTAAGTAAGTAAGTAAGTGCATAAGTAAGTAAGCAAGTAAGTAAGTAAGTAATTAAGTAGGTAAGTAAGTAAGTAAGTAAGTAAGTGCATAAGTAAATAGGTAAGTAAGTTGGTGCATAAGTAAGTAAGTAAGTAAGTAGGTAAGTGAGCAAATAAGTGCATAAGTAAGTATGTTAGTAAGTACCTACATACATACATCTGATGTTGGGGCGATTTGAAGTGCTATGTAGTTTCAAGTAGTTGAAAAAAAGAGATTTTAATATCACTCTTCTGATAAAAAGAAACCAAAGCATTAAACTTATTTTAATCCTTATTACTATTTTGAAGAGATTATCTTCCTCGAAATTTTACCGTACAATATCTTTTCTTTTCCTATCAAAGATTAATTCTTTTTGAAAAAAGTAGTTCTCAGAAATTAATAACAGTAATCATAATAATAGTAATAAATTAAGATCACAATTATTTGAAAATTAGTGTCTCACTTTTAAAATTCCCTAATTTAACATAAAAGATTAGCTCTAGCCTCTTGTGTTTTCGAAAATATTCACTGTTCTAGTCTGAGTTTATTTGGAGTGAATGAATACTTCAGCTTAAAGCAGAAGAATTACTGCTGATCAACCGATCAACTGTTCTTAACTAATAAGGATTATTGTGAATAGCGGGTGTTTGATTGAAAAACAGGAGTTTACATTGTTGGTCAGTAGGTATTACTTTCTTTACAGGTAATCAATTTTGATGGCGTGTTATATATATATATCGACATCATCGACAATCAAGGTGGATCCGATGCAGATGTGAGGGCGCGGATTGGCAAAGTAAGGGCTGCATTTCTACAATTGAAAAATATCTGGAACTCCAAACAATTTTCAATCAAAACCAAAATTAGGATTTTCAATACAAACGTCAAGACAGTTCTACTGTATGAAGTGGAAACTTGCAGAACTGCCAAAGCCATCATCCAGAAGATACAAGTATTTATGAACAGTTGTCTACTCAAAATACTTCGGATTCGTTGGCCAGACAACATCAGCAACAACGTACTGTGGGAGAGCACAAACCAGATTCCAGTGGAGGAGGATATCAGGAAGAAGCGGTGTAAGTGGATATGAAACACACTACGAAAAGCGCCTAACTGCGTCACAAGACAAGTCCTCACTTGGAACCCTCAGGGCAAAAGGAAAAGTGGAAGGTCAAGGAACACATTACGCCGAGAAATAGAGAAAGACTTGAGAAGAACGAACAAAAATTGGAAAGAACTAGAAAGGGAAGCCCAGAACAGAGTTGGTTTGAAAAAACCTGGTTTGTGGTCTATGCTTCACTGGGGGTAACATGAGTAAGTAAGTTATATATATATATATATATATATATATATATACAATGTACTACAATGAAAAGAAACCGTAAGTTGGCTAAGATGAGTCCAGCGGAATAGCATAAAATCAGTATACTAGTTGAAGTGCAGAGAAAGTATGCTACCGATAATTATCAAACAAATTTGTAAGTAATTTCAATGCTGAATAATTAGTGTTGGGGTTGTGGAGATAGATGAGTTTTAGTTAGTTTATGAACCAGTCACTGTTAGACTGCTACTAAAAACCTGGAAGGACTGTTCAGCTGTTTCGACCCCGCATACAGGAATCGAACTCAAGGACTATAATCTTGAACTTCACTGATTAGACTACTGAGACATCAACCAGTGGTGTTAATGTGTCTAACTTGATTTATTCATGATTTCAAACAAACTTGACAATCTCCATAAATCCTCTTCATTTATAACAATCTAGTGCTCACTTGGGACTAACTTTGTGAAGGAATTTTCTCAGTTCTAGAGAAAAGCTGTGACAATATAGTTCAATCCATGTCAGGTGTAAAACAGTTACTCAGCAAATAAAATAGATGAAGTCGCTCATATGGTGGACCATGTAAAGTTAGACATGAACATCATTGGATAGTGACTCAGTGACCTAAAGGTTCAAACATTCATGTGTGGGGTAATGAAAGTACACTAGTGAGAAGACCTACACCAGAATTACTCATCTAGGTTTTCAATGGCGGTCTGACATTGATAGTTTCAAGAACTCAATATTCAAAAAATAATAAGGTCATTATTGTTGAACAATAAGCTGAACAAGATGAATTTAACCACGATAACCCCAAATATTGTAAAAATAAATTGACCTACAATGTAAACTGATTTCAAGATGCACATCCTACAATAATAAGAGTTTTCATCAATAGGATTGAATATATGTACATAACATGCTCCATTGTAAACTAATAGAAGTTTGAATTATTGTAATCAAACGTTAGTCTAGGAGCTCGGTGGTAACTATCATGAGACCTGATATTTGTAGAATTTCTAACTTGTATGCACCTGCTTTAGACTGGCTAATTAAACTTATTTATTCCTAGTTGAGACATTTGATTGAGATGAGTTTACAGTTTATCGATAATTTTCAACACTGATTGAAAATTGATAAGGGGTATCATTAAAAGTTTGAAAATACTGTTCAACTGTTTTCTTTTAATATGGCACTTTTCAACAACCAACAGTTACAACCCCTCCAGGAATATGATCTTCAGATATCAAAGTGAATGGGGTTACTATTAGACAATTATTCTCTCCTATCTACATAAAACTCTCATTTAGTAAATAGTTTCGTCCTCTCATGCAAGATTCCTCATTCAGACCTCATAAATTCATTAGTATATAGTTTAGCAGAAGAATAATTTTTTTATTTTTGAAAACTCAACATATATTACTTATTAATTACTGAATTTCTAATGCATAAATCAATTACCTTGAACAGCATCTGAATTACATTGTGCCAATAAATAAATATAAATACATTGAAAAATGAACAACATTTCTCATAAATGTACAATTTGTTTTTGCATTGAAGAATTTGCCCAACCTCCCAAATCCTGATTACTTTAAATAGATATTCAATAAGTAGTATGATAATTATATTCCAAATAAAAACATTATTCATAAGATTCTTTTCTATGTACAATTTGTTAAATGAAAGAGTTAATTATTAATGAATGATTAATTTGTCAATGATCAACATGAAACATGAAAAATGAAAATTTCACTGTTGAACATTGAATCGGCTTACTTACTCATTTATCAAACCTTATTCTTAATTTTGATTGGTTGTTGATAAAATAACCAATCAGATTTATCATTGATGGATTGAGTGTAATTTGACAATGAATTGTTGTGAATAAACTTTGTTTTTATCAATGTATTTAATATTTAAGGTTAAATGACGATGACGAATAACAAAGTACTCAAACTTCTGGGGAAACATTTCGACCTTCAGGATTTGTTTTTATTGATTGATTGTCTGTTTATAAAATATGTAATTGTATTCTTTCATGAATGAATCTAAGAATTATAGCTATGATGAGTTGATAAATATTTCTTTTTTTTCTGTCTATTGAAAAAAAATAACGAGGGGCAATTAGTTTGGTAATCAGAGCAAGAATGATTGTAGGGTTGTGGAGTTTGTTGAGTTTTAGTGAAGTCATGAATCGATTATTTTTAGATTATCATTAAGAACCTGAAAGCACTGGATAACAGTTTCATCCAAGTATGAGACTCATCAGCATTGATTGAT